CCCTCTCCAGGACAAACCTGTTTGTTCTCCTAGCAGTCCATGGTATATTCAACACTCTTCTCTATTAATTAATAATGTATTCAGATTTAGATAGTTCATGATACATTTAACTTTAAAAAAATTCAACCAATGTTTATTCATGATTTTTCATGGATTCAGTACTATGTTAGGCACTGTGGGAGACTTGAAAAGGAACAAGACAGTCACTGCCCTGAAAGGATTTAAAATCTTGTCAGAGCATCATGGGAGCTTCCATGTATCAATGTGACCACCATCCCTGCTCTCTTGCAGAAGTGCTGGGGAACAGCAATTCTTGCGATTCTTAAAGACTTGCTTCTGATCAGTTGGGACTCACATCTGCAATTCTTTAGTATTTTTTTTTTCAAGAAGGAAATGAAACAAAAATGTGAAGTCATGCAATACAGGAGCAAACATTGACTTCCGTTTCCTTTTCTTTCTGCGTCAACTACTACCATATTTTTCCTACTCAAAGTTTTCCAGACTCATTACTTTTCCTAGAAACAAGCTTCCCCAGATCTGGAAGAATGATAAAAGTCATTTGGGGGCAATCCTTCCCACTTTAAAGATTAATTTGTATTGTAAGTCGTCTCCAGTTTCTACTGGGGAGAGGCATAAAGAATATTTTAGAGATGTCAGAGTAATGAGACATGATACTCATTTAAATGACACAAGAGCTATTTTGATGGAGTCATCTCAAATGATGTAAACACAAAAAGTGTCAGAAAACAAGGACTGCAGAAAGCCTGGAAGTAGAAATAACACCAGGTAGAAATATTGTTTTCCTGTGGGAGTAGGAAAGAAGCAAGTTTTGATCCAAAGGTTGTTAGGATTGGAAGTAGTAGAGACTAGTTTAAAATTGTTGTTGTTGTTAAGTGCCATCGAGTCGTAGACAAATCATAGCGACCCTATGAATGAAAGACCTGAACACTTGTGTAACTTTCATCATTTCTCCAAGTTCATAGAGTTTCCAGAGGCAAGTTATTTTGGAGGCAAGCTATTTCAGAAGTGGATGCCACTCCTGCTTTCAAGCTTCTTCTAATCAAGGAGCTCCACTAAACACTGTCCACCGTGGGTAACCATTATCACATTTGACACCTCAGTGTCACAGTGTTTACCATCACAACAACCAGGAGTTACCTCTGTACAGCTAATGGACAGATCAGTGCTATACACAATAACAGATTAAAATTAGGTGAGAAAAGCAATATCAAGGACTAGCACAATAAGGCCTTTATCCAGGAACTGGAAGGGATACTCCTTGAATTAAAGAGAGTTTAAATTTTTGGACTAGATTAAAGTTAATCCTGCTGCCTCTAGAGAAGGTAAAATCAAGCTGAATAGACAGTACATCTGGAAAGTAAAGATGTTTCCTAAGGTTGAGAGTTTGAGGGCTGGTTTGGAGAATCAGAAATGGAATGTAAAAGGATTAGAATTTAGTATTAAAGCCAAGTTGGAAGCAACTATCATAGTCAAGCCGTTTTTATTTGGGGCCATAGAGCACCACCCTATGAAATCTTCTTTTCTTTCTCTTCAGCATTTCTTGTCTTTGTTTTGACCTCTCTGTGTTCTAGTGTAATTTTCAAAGTCTCTTCTCAAACCCATTTGGTCTTGTCTTTCTTCTGGCTTTGTAACACTCACAGATACTGATTTATTTCCTCAGACTGAATCTACTTGTAGCCTCTGGCTTGTTGAGTATAGTCACTCTTTTCCTTTTTAATCTTTTCCTTTCCCCCTTCCAATCAGCAAATGTTCATTTACCACTGCACATAAAGCAGACCCCAAATTCTGTATCAATAATTCACTGCAGAAGCCTTGCGATTTTGTAGGAACACAAAATATGAAAGTGGTGCACTAACCCATTGATCTAAACACATACTGAGTAATCATAATGAGCCTGTACTATAGATTTATTCTTAAGTGTCTTATATTTATTACCTCATTTAATCACTACACCCTATCATGAAATGAACACTACTGCAAGTTCCATTTTATAAAATTGAGACTTAAAATTTAAAAGTATGGAAGTTACAAATAAAATATCTTCAGGTCAAAAAAAAAAAGTGATATGACTAGGGAGCACTGGTGGCCTAGTGGCAAGAAGCTGCACTGCAATCCCAGAGGCACACGGTTCAAATCCACCAGATGCTCTGCTGAAAAAGGAGGGGCAATCTCTTCCTGTACCAGTCAGATCCGATTTGGGAGGTTGGAGGGACAGCGCAGGAGGGGAAGACCCTTGATGAGATGGATTGATTCCATGACTGGGGTGATGAGGGTAGATATGTCAGAGACACGCACAAAAAATAATAATAAAATAAAATAAAATGACGTGACTTGCCCAAGTTCACACATCAGTGAGTGTAGAATGGAGACCTATGTCTGACTCCGGAGCCAGAGTCCTGTCTCTAATCAGGCCTCCTTAAAAAAAAAAAAAAAAAGATCAGATATGCTATCAATGTAGCTCTCAGCCATCACATTACAAATTCATTTTGGTGCAGAGACAGAGACCATTATCTCCATCTGTTGTGGGGGTGGTATTGATTGCCTTGAGTTGAGCACGACTCATAGTGACCCTATGAACAAAGGGCCTGAAGCCTTTTGATAACTATCGTCATTTATCAAAGTTCATTGAGTTTCCAGAGTCATGTTGTTTAGGAAGTGGATGCCGCTGCTCATCTGCATCCATCTACAAATGTAAAAATAAAGGCCAAAGAAAATGACTGATCTGCCACTGTTCATTGAGCTGATGAGTAGGGACACAAGGGTTCTAACCAATCCCAGTGTTCTTTACTTATTCAATGGAGAGTTCTGGACTTGAGGCTGCCACCTTGAAAGTCCCTGTTTCATGCAACATGGACAACAGGAGTTACCAGTGAGGAACTCAAAGGCCTGGTAGATTGAGGGTAATTGTGGATGGAATCAAAAAAGCCTGATCGCCATCTCACCCTGAATTGCAGAGAAGCAAATCACAGTGGGAAACCACCACTCTTAGACCTTTAGCCAAAGCTGTAGGACATCCCCTGACCCATCCAACAACTTCTGCGGGAAGTAACTTCAAATGAAACACCACATTCTATGAAATGGGCATTTTTTTAAAAAACATTGATAGTGATCAACGAGACTATCAAAGGGGAATCCCCAAGCTGATTCAGCCGCAGGGCTTGGTGGTGTCTGCATCTCTCACACTTACGGTTCTGGATGGTGATTTTGCGCTGCCGGTAATCCACCCCCAGTACGGGCTCATTCTGTCCCCGCCGCTGAGCCACAATTCGGACCTCTCGCTGGTTGTCATTACAGTCATTGGACGGGTCCTGGCCCAAGGATAAAGCAGCCTGGTATGCTGAGGAGAGAGGACACACACCAAGTCACACAACGAGGAACTCTCCATGAGAGAGAAGCCCTTGCTGCCAACTGGTGCGGTGAAGCTTTGCAACTTTCACTAAACCAACGAATGACCTGTGAATTTGCAGCTAGATTCTGAATCATAGGTAGGGAGAGAGCTCTGAGATGCAGCAGTTCTAATAAGCTACCAGGTGATGTCAGTGCTGTAAGGTCCAGAGATAGCACATTGAAAGACAAGACTTCACAGCCATCATAGGTCATCGTTTCCAAATCCTTTTTGCTGCCCCTACTTGCCCTTAGTCTACTGTCTAGAGCTCTCCTGCCTCATTGGCTGAATCACCGCAGCCTCAGCTTCCACAGAGCTCCTCTAGCTGCTTTTACAATGCTTTTGTTATATGACATCAAGTCAGAACTGACTCACAGCTGGCTCTCTGGTAGGTTTTCAGAGACTGTAAATCACCTTGGAGGACAAGATTGCCCATCTTTCTCCCTCAGAGCAGCTGGTAGATTCATACTACCTGCCTTTTGGCTTGGCAGCACAACTCCTTACCCACTAGGCCAACTGAGTGCTCACTCCAATAATGTAAGTGTTGAAAACTATTAAATCTGCCAATGGTAAGTTAACCCAGGCATTTGAAGAGTGATCTCTGAGAGACAATGCCTCAGCTAAAGAGCTGTCTTGTGGGAGTTATGTCAGGTTCAGTGGGTGGCTAAGACAGTCAATTAAA